AAATACAATATTCTGATACCTGAGTAGTCAATATCCACCACGTATCCCTTTAAAGAATCAAATGAAGCTGAGACTACAGGACCAAACCCTTCCTAAAGTGAAATTACTGTCCATCTGTATATATCCATAAACATTATCAGCTTCCTTCTCCCCTTATGACTCCACCACTTCCACAAAGCTGTGTAAGTCGATATGGCCTTTCCGACAAGGGAAGGTCCTATTAGCGGCAGCCAGGGGCACCCATGGGAGTCAGAAGGAAAAATGTCCCACCCCACCTCCACTCCGCCCAGCATCATAATATTACTCATGAAACATTCACATCTTTATGTAGCCAGGATGATCACGCCAGCCTCCCATTGGCGGAGACTAGATCGGCCCAGAACAGGAGATGAGGTTCTATTGGTGTGGTGGGAGTGATGGCAGGACGGCGGGGAGGCTGGTGAGGTTATTGGGTTGATCGATCCACGCCGTCTTCAGCCCACACAGATGAGGGCAAGGACTGCACATATTCAGAAGAGTGTTATTCTTGTCAAACGGCAACAGTTAGAGGTTGAGAGTTAATTTTAAGGTAAATAAGGCTGTTTAGTTAAGAGTCAACATAATTATATTAAGCTGAACAGAGCTAAAGCGGCTCACTGCTGTCCATTTAGTGTTATAGTATCCCACCATACATACGTCTGAAATATGTCTAAAATTTCTGCCACCATACCAGAAATATGGAGGTGAATGGAGCTTTATTTTCAGTGTTAAAAGCATTGAAAAACTACATTTGTAAAGCTCAGTACTGTCTACTGAAGAAATATTCCTGTTGAATCTTTAAAGATGTGCTTTTGTGTGATTGGGGTCAGGTGACCTTTTAAAGCATTCACCATATAAGGCCATGTTTACACTGCAGAGGATCCCAAGTCTAATGTATTTTCCTCACATGACACAATCCTAATACGTTCTAATCAATGTGATTTGAAAAAGCCTGCTGCGGTTTATTTTTTGCTTGATCACATGGCTCTGTGATACAAAAGTGGATCGGGGATATGGCCTACATGTGTACGCTCAAAGATTTATTTTAGATGATGAGAGAGTGGAGAGTAAGTGACAGTTGATTGTCCCGAGGCATTAAATGTGTAATATATACATATAAGCAGAAAGTAAGCAAAATATAAAATGGAATCTCAGGATCAGCAGTGAAAGCAGCATTAATTGACTGAATTGTTAGTGCAAACATGTTAGCAAGCAGTTGCATATTTACACATCTGGCAGACACCAAGCAACATCACCATTCATTTCTAGATGTGTTTCTGGCCCCTGGATGAATGCAAGGCTAATATTCTCAATGTTCAATCTTCTCAGTTTTTGATCTCCAACAACTCCTAAGGGAAATATCTGGCTCTTCAGCTTGCTAAATGCTAGTTTTTAAAACTATGTTAGCGTCAAAGTTGGCAGACTTCCTGCTGACCCAGAAAACACCTACCTGGTGCAGCTGCAAATAAGGTTCAGGAAAGCGCTGAGAGTGAATCTAAACAGTAAGTTGTGGGCGTTAAAACCAAAGTTTTAAGAAACTAAAATACTATTTAGAACTGAGGGCAACTGCAGAGTAAGGTAATACTTCTCTTTAGGTTGTTCAATCCGACCAATTACATAGTCATTTGGTCAATTGTTAGTACAGAAATACTGTTACTGCAGCTTTAAGGCATGGTGAAATTATATTTAACTGTCCAATTGTAATTGGATGATGGTATGTTTTCAATATAAGTCAAGATACATTTTGTTGTTTAGATTAACACTACAAAGCAATTACAGTATCATAATGTGCCCAGACTGACTTGGAAAACTAAACTAAAAGTGATTTTCTACCTCTCAAGTTTTAGTTTTAAGTGTAGCACCTGACCCATGATGAATATACTTTTAGGAACCTTGAGGTAAGTTTTGCTTTGCCAACTTCTGTTTCCAAGGTCAAGAATGAACTGTCAAGCTTGATTTTTAAACATGGATAAAAGCTCCTAGAAAGTCTGAAGTAAAACGTTCGAACATCTACAGTACCATGACAACTAAGCAAACTCCATCTGAAGGCTGTGTGATATGGTCAAAGGTTCCAGCACAAGTAAGTGGACCTTTACGTCAAAGTATTTTAAGGAATGAGCTTTCTTCTTTTCACAGTGTCATGTTTTGATAGATCGAGGTCCAGCACACCAGCATTTGGTTGCTTGATGCTTATTGGACAGTAACATTTAAGTCGTGAGAGTGCTTTTCCAGTGTTGTGTACTGAAAACCAAATATTACAAGCATGATCAAGATGTGTCAAAACTGCTTTAATAAATAACTGGAGTGATTATTTAGAACAATGAAACATCCACTAAAAGACTTTGTATAAAAGTAACTTATGTCCCTTGTAGAATAAAATGTATATAATATGCATATTTAGCTTTTAACACCAGCAGTGACTCATCTTTAATTCTTTATTTTGCTGTGTCCCATTTACAGAAAATACGATGGCGTTTGAGACAAAGACATGATATGGAAAGGGGTAATTTTGAACTTAGTTGGTAACTTAAAAAAAAACACATCTGCATGGTAGCAAAAACACGTCTGCAAATATTGTTCCCTTCATTTAAGCCTTTAAACCAAACACGAAGCTAATGCGTGATGTCCACATCTGACCTACTGACATCCACATTCATGACTCTCAAAAGAGTGGTGGTGGACTGTTTTTTTTCTAAATCCTCCATCCTCAAGTGTTTTATTCCAGAAATCTCCATGATAGCAAAGTCAGACAAGGAGAGCACTTGACTCAGGCGAATAAAACACGCCACTCTACACCACACAATGTTTTAAAGAGTTACTTTCCTTAATAGTGAAAACAAACCAACAACATAAAAAGATGACCACTGATTACACAAATAATGAATCACTCATTACATTAAGGCACCTGAAATAAAAGGGTTTGTGATGGGTTTAGAAATGGTTTGAGAACTTCTTAAGGCTATAATATTGGCAGCTTTGCAACGTTATTGCCAAAAGCTAGTTTAATTATTTTATTTTTTAAACCAAGTCCTGGTAAACTAAACTAAACTAAACTAAACTAAACTAAACTAAACTAAACTAAAACAACCAAAACCAGTGATTCTTCTAATAGAAAACAAGTTAAAAAAAACAAGAGCGTCAAAGGGTAAATAACGACTGGGTCAAATAATGTAGAAGTAGATGGCTGCTCTGCTTTTTTATGGGCAGAAAATTGGGAGAAAGTTGAAATTCTGGCCACACCCCTATTTGTGATGTCACAGCTGACCCTCAGCTGTTAGGCAAAACACCCACTGTGACATCACTGATTGAGGAGTGGGGCAACTTGCTTGTAAGTTTCTTTCTATAATGTGACAGCAGTTTTCTGCCTTATTTGATACAGTTTTGACTTCTCCTTTTCCGACCATGTTAAAATTGTTTCTGATCTGTTTTGCAACACAATTGTGAAATATTAAGAACACTGATTAATCATTAATCTTCCTGATACTAATTTAATGGAAAAAACTAAGTGCAAAATAATTGGTATTTACTTAATTCCAATAACTATCCAGGCCATAATTTCTGCTGTTGCAAAGGAATTTTAAGATTGAGACCAGAACTAGAAATGTTGGACCACATATAGCCAGAAAAGAGACATCAAAACTGTAAAGGAAGTAGGAATGTTTTGTTGTCCTGGTATTTTATGGTCGGGGTATAATCTTGAAGTTGAAAAGCATCACTGATTTACTAACTAAAAAGCATAAGAGACATAGCCACAACCGTTGATCTGACAGTTTGTCACAAAAAAAGAAATGCGTCCTCATGACAAACCATTTATAAACCCTCCAGAAACTCCTTCATAGGTGGTACCTCATTGTAAAGATTCTTAACTGTGGGACTCTGGATATGAAGTGTTATAAAACGTGCGTATTTCGACTGGCATAAATAAAAGGAATGGCATTGTAAAAAAAATAAAAATAATATTAATCATAACAATAATAATAATAATAATAATAATAATAATAATAATAATAATAATAATAAAAATGAGTGACTTGTCTTTAAGTTACTTATTTCAAATATACACAGCGACTCCTTTTAGTATTTACACATATGTACAGAGTATTCATTTCTGTTTTGATCAAATACCTTGAATGGCGTTGCTGTGAAATTGAACTCTTTAAATTTACACTTGTATCCCTTTGAGATTTGAGAACAAGGAGGTCAAACTGGGCAGCGCGACTTGGAGCCTTGACACGGCTCTTAGAAAGGCACTTGCTACCAACTCAAATACTGCAAAATATCCTCAAACAGAGCTTTCAGCCAAGACAACTGAGAGACAGGGGAAAAAAATGGAAGGCCACATAGTAGGCACTGGGGTTTCTGTCCCCTCTCCCCTCCAGGCCAAGTGTTTTGGTAAGGCTGGCACATGACGGCCACAGGTGGATCGGTGGGCAAAGCCGGAAAGAGACAGCGCAAAGGAGGATTTCCTCCGTTACTGTGGCTGCAACAGTCCATCGCTCTCAAAACTCTACCTTTACTGTCCCTTTAATGTGTATCTGCCCCCCCCCCCCCCCC